CATTTTGTTCATCTAAATATCACACCATGACTTGGTAGGTAAATGTTTGCTCACTGTACCTTTAGTTTGGCTTCTCCAGTAGCTCCTGTAACCTTCATACTCATACTGGTCATATCTTTGGTAGTCAGTGGCTCTGTGTTGCTTCTTCTTTAAAATGTGTATATAACATCTGATAAATCTAAATACAAAAAATCACTTTGGGTTTACACACTATATTGTCATGACAACAGCAATAGGAAATTGTACAAACATCAATAATGTTAAAACATGTATACTGAATTGTTATTTTTACATCTTCTATTGTTTCTAGCAGTATTCATTCATCTGTGCTCAGTGATTGTTTTTTGTGTGTGAATTAAGAAGAGATACTCAGTTGGCATAAAAAAAAATATGGCCACTTTTAAAAAGACTTCAAAATTTCGCCAAAATCATGAATAACAAGACATGAATGTCACAGTCCCAGTTATTCAATTATAAATACTCACGTTAAAATAACACATGGAACATCTGCAAACAATTGGATTAATATGTACTCTATGTGGGTACAACTCATCATAAAGTGATTTCCCTTAATTTGATAACTGAAAAGTTTCATTGACATTTGTATATTACCAGGACGTGGGTTTGTTTCAGTATCACCACTATAATTCCCATCAAAATGTAGCCCTGACACCCCTCTACATTTTCTACTGAGATTGGTAATGGTACCAATCTGTCACAACTCGCAAGAACAAGGTCATGAACAGGTCATGACATCACTAAAAACCCTAGCATTACAATCTAAGCTAATTATTTATACTGAGCATGCTCAGTTGTTCTCTCAGTGCAGTAGAGAGAGGTAGTTTCGGATGAAAATCATGAAAAAGACCCACTTAGGATTTTCAGATCTGAAAAAAAAAATTATGTGCATAATCGGCAGAGACTTGTTCATCAAACTGCCAAGTTTCATCGATATCTGCTGCAGAATTTCTGAGAAAATGTTAGAGATGTCCCAAACAGGAAATTGAAATAAGAATTGTGCCTTAAACAGGGACTAACTAATTCTGCTCTACCACGTGTATTGGTAATTCACAGTAATTTTTTTTAAAAAAAGCTCGCAAAATCTTTTCAAAATGATCCATTTTCTATTTAAGTTGTATTGCTGGCATAACTTAGTTGAAAGCCCTTTTAATGTTTGACTTAGCTAAAAATTAAATCTGAAAGTTACAACGTTTGCGAGTTGTACTGATAAAAACTTGACACATTACGCCATTTAAGGTTTTCACAACAAAAACTCCCATCATGCATTGCTGTTCAAATGCTGCTTCAAGAGCATGCTAAACACAACACAACCTAGGAAGTACATAATGTTTGATGTTCAAAGTTCACTTGAACACTGTAGTGACAAGACTAAAACACTCCTATAATTTTAAATAGGAGGGAACTAATGGCCATTCACATGTGAGTGTGGTATGAATGGCGGACTAATCTTGATCTTGATCATTGAATAAAGAATCTTATGTGTGACTCAGTGACTTGATTACATCCTAAGATGCTGAAAACTCAGTGATTTGATGACACCCTAAGATGCTGAAAACTCAGTGACTTGATGACACCCTAAGATGCTGAAAACTCGTAGTGACTTGATGACACCCTAAGATGCTGAAAACTCAGTGACTTGATGACACCCTAAGATGCTGAAAACTCAGTGACTTGATGACACCCTAAGATGCTGAAAACTCATAGTGACTTGATGACACCCTAAGATGCTGAAAACTCAGTGATTTGATGACACCCTAAGATGCTGAAAACACTGACTTGATGACACCCTAAGATGCTGAAAACACTGTGATTTGATGACACCCTAAGATTCTGAAAACACTGACTTGATGACACCCTAAGATGCTGAAAACACTGACTTGATGACACCCTAAGATGCTTAAAACTCACACACAACTGAAGCTACGAAACTGTTGATATTCGGCTATTGCAAACAACCACTGGAATGTGTTATACAAAACAAAGCTCCACTGGGGAAATCGGACAGCGCCCTCTAGTGTCATCATTATGACCATTGTCCTACCTTATTCACATCCGCTAGTTTGACTCTTCCTCTGATCAATGACGATACGGACATAAACTCATCTTTGCTGATATCAACAAACTCACCATTCTTCCGTAGTTCAGCAGCACTTTCAGCTACAAATAAATTAAATTTAAAAAAAAAATAGTTGTCAGTATACATGTACTATTCTTGACTTTTTTGTTAATAATTATACCATTCTTTTATTTTTAAATAGTCACAATGTAAACATGTACATTCTGTATTTAGAGAGGATTTTCGGGAGAGCTACTTGATGAATCCATTATCAGCCAATAAGAGAGCTACTTGATGAATCCATTATCAGCCAATAAGAGACTACTTGAGGACTTCCTTATCAGCCAATAAGAGAGCTACTTGAAGACTCCCTTATCAGCCAATAAGAGAGATGCTTGTTGACTCCATCATCAGCCAATAAGAGAGCTACTTGAGGACTCTCATATCTGCTAATAAGAGAGCCAATTGATTACTCCCTTATAGGCCAATAAGAGAGCTCCTTGATGATTTTGTCAGACTCAGGATCCTGACAAAATCAGTCTTTTTAGAGTACACATCGCTGTCTAAAATATTTTCCAGGAAAATAACTGCCAGTACATCAATTGATTGTTGGGTGACTGACCAATGGCAATGAAGAAGAGAGCTTGTAGTTTTAGATTTCAAATTTCTAAACCTGGTTGCACAACTTGTCTATGTGTATATGCCCTGTAAACAAACACGTCAGCTGACTTTGACAATGGCAATCAAAAACACGACAAAAGCAACTCAACAACAAAAAAACAAGAAACTGACTTACCTTCTACTGCAGGTGAAGGAAGTGCATCTGCAATTGCACATGCCCCTTCCTGAAATTAACAAATAGTATGGCAAGTGAGTGAGTTTTAACACCAATCCATGGCCTCATATAATTATATATGAGGAAGCCGTTGACTGGAAAATATTACACAACAAAGCTTAACCCACAAGAATCTTACAAGTTTCTGTTTCAAAAGTGGAACATATTTATTGAAATAGACACAAGTTATTAACTTTCTTCCCCCTAGGATGAAATAACTGTTGTCGTAAATAACTTGCAAAATGTATTTTTTTTTATTGAAATAAAGATACATGTTAAGCATTATTTCATAAAAAACAAATAATCATCAGAATTTCCTAATAATTAAACAATGATGAATGATCCACCAACCCATAATGGACGAAAAGTTACTTTGTGACATATATGTACGAGGCGCAAGCAAGTGTGCTTGAGCAGACGATGATCTCGCACAAAATTGTCTGATTTTGATATTGAAATCAGCTGCTATTGGAAAAGGACCATTTTATTTGATGCCGATTTTAGTATTAAATACTTGATACCTAATAATTTCTTTTCTTTTTAAATAGTTTCTCCTTTATTCGTTTTCAAAAACAACATTTGATTCATATCCATGGCACAGGATGGTTATATGGGATACATTATCACGAATAATCTGCTGCAATGACGTCATAAAATCCACTCGTATTGATAATGCTATAATATAATTCTTGATACACTACTTTTTCATCTGGGTCAAGAAAATCTGACTTAATAGTAGCCGCCTAACTTTACAATATCAAAACTATCATGCATGCATAGTAGAAATGTCTAATACAGACATATCACGGCATTGAGCCAAGCACTATAGTGTCCACTGCTTCTTTTACTTGGAATAAAAAATTGTTAACTTATTCTGAGGTTACTGGCAATAACCACAAATGAAAAATCAACTTACACAATATTCTCCACCAAAATCTTCGGACGACTGTCTTGTGTTATAATGTTTGGATTCTTGTGTTTCATCTGTCTGTGATAAGTTTAAACCCAACATTGCTTCCGCCATCTTGTCTTCTTCAGTTTGCTCTTGGGGCTACATATGTAAAATTACATTTACAGAAATGACATTACAAACTTTCTACTTTAAGGTGGTGGCACATTTTGTAGATTTTAAAGGTCAGATTGTACGCAAAGGTGCATGCATCTGGAGGGAATTCCCCATGAAATTATTTTTTCAATAATTTGAATGAATGGAGTATTTGTTTTTCACATCAAAGCAGCAATCTGAAATGTTTGTCTTTTTAGGTCATAGGTCGATATAATATGTAAGCACATAAGATTAAACAGATCCAATAACAATTGCATACATAATTACATTTCCCTTTACACACACCGGTGCAATTAACTGATGTAGGCCATGGTTTACCGGTAATAACATTTGTTTAGCCACTAAAAGTGAACATAGCTCCTACATGTACATGTATATACGTAAGGTATTTGAGTGGGACAAAACGCAAATGTTTTTGCATGGTTCTCTAATTGATTGTATTTTTTGACAACTTGACTATAAAAACAATAATGTAATCTATACAGTGTTTCACCTGATATATTATTGATTGTATATTTTAGTTGAATGAAAATTATGTAATTGTAACATCTATGATTGCGCAATCACAGGGAATTCAAACTATTGAGCATACGCATATTTTATTTCCCAAGATGCTTATGACATCACACAGCAAAAAATGTGTGCGACATCTGAATGGGATATACTACAGTCACATCTAGGTATTAGTAGAGTGACAAATGGCGAGTGGACGATGCATACATTTTAGGCTGAATAAAAAGATACACTTCTCATTGTTGCCAGTTATATCACTAATAAATCAAAGAAAGCTTAGAAAGAACTCCTGTGTGCTGAAAGTATTGAAGACATGTTAAAAATTAATTAGCCTTTCAAACAAGAAGCTTGGCAATTAATATTTGTCTGCTATTTGTGATGCACAATGTGAAAACAATGTGTTCAAAATTATTGTAGTTTATAATACTCCCAGAAAACAAATTTAATTTTACATCTGTGGTTTTCAGTCTAAATTATTTCAGAGCATCTCCACCACAAGTTCAATATGATAATATAATAGATAATCAATACGCATGTTTTTCATTATTAAATAAACACAGCTGTGGATTACACCAGAGCATCTACAGTATATGAACCAAGTTTCAATGAAATGTGATGATTATGCACATTGTGCAAATTCAGCAATTAGTATGAATTTAAATTCAAAACTAAAGCATTCATATCACAGGAACTATAATCAAGTGTTCGCAGTCTCTATGAGTGCACGCGCACTGCGAGTTCACAACACAGTAACCAGTCTTGTTATTGGTTTTTGATACATTCTGAATATGCCACGCATCCAACTGTGCCTAGCATGTCGTTGACCGTTATTCGTAAATCATGTAGTCAATTTGTGTAGTTTTCTTCATTTATTCTGCAGATATAGTTCCTGGGCTCCCTGTGGTCTTATTGAAATGCAATAATTGATTTTTTGAAAAATAATTGGTAATTATCATGCAATTAGTTGTCACCAAGACAAATGCCGCTCCAACGTTAACAACATCTGTTCAACTCAAGAAAACACAATGCTATCAATGTCTGATTCAATAACAATTCTGCATGTTTAGTCAGTTCGTTTTATGTGACGAAAAGAACACCTCAACGCCTAGTTTTGCGATATAAACTTACCCACCACATAGTTATTAGATAGATTTCAATTCCAAACTAATTAGGTCGGTGTATTGTTCCAGGGCATACATGTACCAAGTTTCATTATAATGAGATAAGCCGAAAATTAAATCATTATGCAAATTAGGTAATTATTATGGATGCATAATAATTCAAAATTAATTAGTTGCCTTGTCAACAACAAGGTTCATTGAAAAAAGATAAGTACTTGAGATATAAGCTGCAAAATGGATAATTATTATGAAATCACATAATTTTAATGTGAAATAAATGCGGTCTGCGCAATGTCACAGAGCTTTCAGAAGTTTCATTGAAATGTAATGATTAGTACTTGAAATATCAGCAAAAAAGCAAACGTTTTACTAATTACAAAAATGTATGTATGCAAATTAGGTAATTAATATGCATGGATATAAACCGAAAACTTATTAGGTCTGTGCATTGCTCTATGACATCTGAGTACCAAGTTTCAATTCAATGTGATGAATTAGTATTTGGGATATCAGTTTGAAAGCTGAAAATTTATGCAAATTAGGTAACTAATATGCATGGATTTTTATTTCAAAACTAATCAGCTCTGCTCATTCTCTCAGAGTATCTATGTAACCAGTTTCATCAAAATCCAATGAGTAATTCTTATTATCATGCAAATAGGGTAATTATTATGCATGGATTTAACCCAAAACCCAATCAAATTTGTGCATTAGCCCAGAGCATCCACACATCAAGTTCCATCAAAATCCAACATTTTTTTTTTTGAATATCTATAAAATAGGTGGGAACAGGCGGACACGCACACATACAGACAGACAGACAGACAGACAGACAGACAGATACATTGAGTCAAAAATCAACATGAACACTGATACCCCAAAGAAAACATTCAGTAATCAATTTTTCTCTTGCTTTTGATGACATTGCTACATGCTTCCAACCTCCAACCTGTTCACTGACATACATGTATTGGCAAAAACAGCAGGTCTTTTTAAAATTACACAGTAAGGATATGTACTTGTACATACGTCTGCTCCGGCTTGGTCCTGTATTTTCTGCAGTGCCTGACAGGCCATCTGTAATTGTGAGCGAAAGAACTCTGATGCCTCACTCTGTGCTTTCTTGATTTCTTCAGCTTCTTTGACGATGTCCGAATACTGCTGTTTGACACTCTGCAGCCTCTCAACTATCTCTTTAGGATTCACCTGAATTGAATTAGAACGACATGATATTATGTGGGTATTGTGAATACATTAACATATACACAGGTGGTACTAACAAAGCAAATAGGGCCTGCAGAATCTATAAGAACGTTTTATGTTGCACCACTGTACCAAATATTTTACAGGTTCTACGCGAGCTGCTGTGGAACGCTGGTCGAAGAGCTGGTGAAAACAGCTAAGTCAAGGAAACGGCATAAACTCAACCATGACACAATCCTGAACAACCAAATTTATATATATTGTACATGTAGGGGTAAATGTTGTTGCACTGTTCAGGAGAGTCTCAACAACTAGCCCAAGTACATTTTTTTTTAGTTTTTGACCATTATTTTCACTGATTGTCATTGGTGGTGAAAATGCCTGGATATTTGCTCACAAGAATATTATTCCTACTTGATAAGGCATTTTATAAATTTTGGCCTTGAAAATGGGTGCCCGTTCTACTCCTAAGTTCAAGCCCTGATTCCACTATAGTGATACACAATTTTATATCTAAGCATTTAAAAAAAAATCGAAGGCAACTGGGGTGCTTTACATACATGTACATGTAAGTATTTTGCGAAGAATCAAACATCATCATAATGCTTCTTATCATTTCACACTTGAAATTTTCAATTATACATTTCATAAATTCTACCAAATAACTACCTGATTGGATTCGTCTGACATTTCTGTGAATTCAGAATCTAACTTTCTGGATACATAATTAATATCTGATTCGGCTTTCTGAAACTAAAATTAAACGAAAAGAAATAAAGTTAAACCGATCCACTCTTTAATTATGCACAATAAAACCCCACTAAACGCCTCCCGCACCTTGGGGTATGTGAGACAACTATGGGGATAATCTTGAGAAAGCGATGTTCAGAGGAACTTAAAGGGTTGGGCATTTTTTCATGAAATTTCCAACCTGGGGATACAAACCTGGGGACAATAGTGTTAGGGTAGGGTACATTTGTAGAGTGGCGATGACAACATGATAATTAAGGCAATTTTCTGTTATCCCAGAGGGCGTAGAAAATTATTTTTAGCAACTCTATTTTTTCTTGTCCCCACATACCCAGAGTTGGGGAGGGTCAGGGTTTATATTGTGCATTACTTACTCAAACCTCTGTAAATACCTGCATTTTATTTTATTTTATTTTTTTGGGCAATTGCTTGAACCTGTTATTGAAACTGTTATTGACAAATAATTTGCATTTCCAGTATTTAGGTCCGAAACAAGTTTTATTACTGCAAAGTGGCGTGATCAACCCCGCCCACTCTTGGCGAAGGCAACAGGTTTACGACAAGTCTTTATACAGGAAGGAACTTCATGGAATATTAATTAACTATATGACATCCATACTCGACAGATAAATGTGGTTTAATGTAAAACAAAACAATAGCACGATAAAATAACATTCATCGCAGGTTTTCTTAATATTATTTTCGAGCCTATACTAGTACATAAAAGTCTAACGTGTAAAAGTTGAGTGCAAAACCGGGAACTCACCAAAGCTTCGAGTTTGTCTACTGTTTCTTCCATTTTTGTTTTGATGACTGTTTTCAGCAGACCATTTTCAAACTGTCATTCAGCAAAACTATATTGTCTTTCATCTGCGGTTGTAAAAAATATTTACCACAACAAACTATTGTTATATATAAATCTTAATATTTTTTAATAATTAAAATGTATTATGCTTTTTTAATTATTTTATTCTAGTAACGATTTGTGACTAGAATTACGGCAATGAGCTCATTATTCACTGGATTTCGAAAGCATTATCTTACCGCGATTTTGATTGGGTAACTGAACGATGTAAACTATTCACCGATTGGTCAACGTAGAACCTAGCGGGTTTTTTCGAAAAGTGCGGAAGTGCCGTCGGGAAAGTGGTGCAAGTCGAAGGGTTGGATGTTTATATCTTATCGTCCGTGCTTTAGATTGTGGTGAGTGTTTGTCAAACTACGACTCGGGCTAGGCAGTGAATGTAAGTACACTCTGTACGTGTTATCAATGTCTGATGTAGACGCGGCGACAATTTGTTTCGGCGCAGGATTCGAGCAACAGTCAGACAAGACAATTGTACTACGAGGGCACAAACCATAATTATTATGGAGGACTGTGGTCAAACATGACCCATGATAAACATTTACCATACATGTATCTTTACAAGTAACCAACTTTTTCTCTAAAATAATATCAATATTGTAACAGAATTCAAAATGTCGGTGAAGTTGGGTGTGTACCACAATTTGAAACTGCGGGTGGCCCCCTTAGGTGGCTTGGGATATTAAATCGTGTTATTGCTGTGAACGAAAAAAACAACCCGATCCACTATTATTGCAATATAGCTAATTATTATGCAAATAAAGTTGTCATTACAGATACTGTGGAATACTTTATTTTAGCTGGAATTAATTTTCGCTGAAAAGGCTTTTTGGGCGTTTGCTTGGAATTTATTTTCACTGATTTTGGATGAGTTTAATGTGAAAATATAGGAAAAAAAGTATATTCGCTGGATTTTATTTTCACGGAATCATCCCTTCAGCGAAAATAGGGAAAATAAATTCCAAGCGAAAATAAAGTATTCTACAGTAGTTACATTTGAACTATCCATATTGCTATTTTGTTTACAAAACAGTGAGTTATATAAAATAATATTCCAGTACTGCTGGTCGGGTTTCTTTTTCATTCATTATAAAGTTGCACTCTGAGAGCATTCATGTCGTAGAGATTTATAGTTATGTTTAAGATATGGGAATTTTACTTTATTTACTCTATAGTAGAAGTACATCACCAATAGAAGCACATTGCGTGATCATTAAAATGTGCGTTATTTTGACTGTATACATATTGATACTATACTGTTAAACCATGTTTTTTTGCAGGTAAAGTAAGTTATAAATGGCACGAAAGAACTCGTTCTCCGTTAGCAAAAGAAAAAGAAGAAGAAGTCGTCAGCAATCAGGAAGGTCCTACAGTTCAAATCGAGGGAGTCATTCTCTTCCTCCATGGTGAGTTTACTCAGCAACCAAAACATTGTCACTTCAAAAATTTTAACAATTTACTTAATATTTTCTACTCATTTTGTCATAAATGTTTACACATGTAAGAAGCATTTACAATTCATTAATTCTACATTGTATTTGCGCCTAAAACTAAAATTACAATCAGTGTTCACGCTAATATTTTTTTTCTATTAGCCACAGTTTTCTGGTGTGGCTAATCCTGTTAAAAAGCTCTTAGCCACATCCGATGTTTATTAGCCACGTCATTAAAATCAACATTTTATTGGAAACCAATCGCAAGTTTTGGATTACAGTTACCATGTAAATTTAATAAAATAAATGACAATTCACCGAAAACATAATCATGATTCAATGTGTTATTTTTATTGTTAAATATTTACAACATAAATTACAGCCTTCTACAATTATTTCAAAAATTAAAATTGGGGGACATTTAATTTATGAACAATATTTCTTTTTCACTGTTCGGAGAATCAAAACAAAATCAGAAAACGAATGGTACATCTGCATTCATGTTTGACATTTTATTTAAATTTGTTTGGGAAATAAATCACATTACCTGTGGTCACTAGTGATTTCATGCTTTTGGAATCAGAACTCATGAAAGAAACCATGTGGAAAGAAACTACACATTTCTTGGTAAAATTAAAATGGCAGAATCAAATAAACGTGGTGCTAGCTTTTTCTCTGAACGCGCTTACTGATCATCAAAAGATAGCGCTTAGTGCTGTATCTGAGGAAAATGACGCGTTTGTTGCAAACACAGTCCCTCGACTGTGTTGCAACAAGACCGAATCGGGCAAGTTGGTATGTTATCAGTTTGGACAGTTGTGTCAGTTCACTAAAACACAAATATTAAGACGTTCCATCATCCTCATTCACTTGCCCACAACAAATTTTCAACATTGGAATAAGAAATTTTGAAAACTCCATTGTTTTAATGTTTGATGAGCTCCCCAATCTTCTCATTTATGATACAGCAACTCTGATTGGTAGCACCAGCTCCTTGGCACGCCCAATCAAATGACTCAATTTACTGCAGAGAAATACAGCTTTTCCTAACACGATCACGCA